GCATGTTGTGGGGGGGGGGGTCAATCCTGGTTTAGCCTCGAACTGCTCCTGATGTCACCCATGCCAATTTTTAAAATTTTATTTGTTTATGTTTCCTTCTTTTACACAAAACTGACTTAGCTGCAGAAAGTAATTGTCCATTTTCATTGCTGGCTCATGAAAAGCTTTCATTTAATGACAAGGCATCAGGCTAAGGGCATCACTAGATTCTCACTCTCTTTTATTCTCTTTAATTTTTTGTTCTTTCCTCTATCACTCACGCTCCCCCACTCCCTCTCTTTCCAGCCACTGAGATCCACTTTCATCTCCTTTTATAAAGCCATGAAACATCAGGCAGCGGCATAAATCTAACGTGATTGTTGTAATGACCAGGAGCCGCTGCATCTGCAACAGGAGCCCGACGGATGCGCGAATCGCACAGTGCAGGCGGGGTCAAGGCTGCCTCTGTGCGTCGCATACAGTATCAGTGCCACATAACCGCACACACAATGTATGAGTAATGCAACTGAGCCAGCTTCAACATTGCTAGGCTGGTTTGACATGCTACTCATGCACAGGCTCGCAAGAGTACAAGACATGCCACGAAGGGGCCAAATCTCAAGCTCAGATAGCACTGTATGCACATCCAGAGACACAGGCTGAATAGAACACTAATGGGATTCAATTTTCTTGGTCCTCGGGAGCCCTGATACAAGCTGTACAGCCTAACACAAATATCACTCACAGAGCACACAACACAGAGAGCCATTCACAAGAGGAAGGACAATGAATGCCGGGCACTTTAAGCAGCTCGTCTTCCTACATGCTGTACAATTTCATAGAAACACAAGCTCTGTTAGGCACCAGCGGGCGTTGGACGCTGGTACCACTGTAAGTCAGAAGTGAAGGAATTTGGAAGCTTGTATGTTAATGTACATTTTAATTGAGCGGCTTCAGACACATAGTAGCCACTGTAGTAAATGCCAATCCTCCATTAGTGCTATATTGTTTCTTGAATGTATAATTACAATATATAATATCAACCCGTTAAAACACCATATTTTTTTATGTGGGTGAATGGGATGGGATGAAATTCTCTTGGGGATGAGAGGTGTTTCAGCAAGTGGGTTAGACCACTGGCATCTATTATAGTGGCTACCATGTGTCTAGTTCTATCCAGCCACCCAATTAAAAATGCATCTATTATCACTCATAACCCTGTTCCCTAAAAGTTACATTCATCATATACAACACATCTGCATACACGCTGGCTGTGTGCGCTGACTGCACATGCCGGTCCCCTCTGCACAGACAACTAATGTACTATAAACTATGATCTGCATACCAACAAGGCTGGATTATCAGCAAAAAGGGCAACAACCTTTACTCTGTGGAAACCAGTGCTGGGTAGAGTAAGTTAAAAAGTACCTGGTTAATAAATTGAACAAAGGGCAAGTTACTGTCCATTTTAATATTTTAAGTGTATGATTACTACTGTAATAATGAAAGTAATGTTACCACTGAAGTTGGCACTACGTTAGGTTAACTGCTTTCTAAAGCACACCAATTCATGAACAGACCACTAGCTACAAAAATGGTTAATGGCATTATCATATCAACAAAGATTAATGTTATACATGAAAACATTAAGTAGAAGTAAAAAGTAGATTACAGGCTCAAAGATATACTCGAGTAAAGAGTAGATGTGAGTGAGTAAGTAGTACTCCTTCCTTAAAAAGAAAAAAGAAAAATGTGCTGTGCTACTAGCCTGATTTTTGGCTACTAGGGGGGAGACATGAAAAACCTGGCAGTTACACAGCTACCACCTTTATTTAATTTATGACATGTTCTTTGTATTTTCTATAATCTTTTGTATGTATTTTTTTATGCATCTTATGTTCAAGTCAGTGGCTAAT